CTCGACACACAGTTAGCAGCTCTGCAGTCTGAGTAGACTTCCTTGGATTATTGGAATGTAATTGCCTGCCAGGCACAAACTTATGGAGCTAATAAGAAGTATCATGAGAAATATCATTCATGCCCACAATCCAATCAAATTAATTCAGACGTAATTTTCAAAGGGTTTAGAATAGAAAACACAATTAAAGAAAAACTTAAAAACATGAGATAAAATCCTAATAAATCAACACTATAAATCTCAACATTTACCATCTGTTGATAATACTGGAGAGGGAGTCATTTGCCCCATGTTTAGCAGTAAAAACACTTATCACTGCAAAATGCAAAGTTCTCATTCATGCATAAAATGCCACCTCATTTTGTGTGCAAATGAAGCAATATAACTGCAGTGCAGATAAATGTGTTTCTGCTTCTTTTATTCTTGAAAGTACCACTACTAAGATGTCAGCTTTCTATTAAAAGGCATGTGTTGCTGAACCTCTAAGACTTATTTTGTACCCACTGTTGCTATACTGCAGCACTGTCCAGGAGTTCAAGTTAAGGAAACAGCAGTTATGTCTTTACACTCTTTCGTCATAGATGCTTAAGGATCCTCATGTTAACCAAAAGGCAAATAAAAATCAATTTCACTCTGATTCTTTCTCATTTTTCTCAAATCAACTATTTTCAGTCATGCATCAGAAACAATATGTTTTAATAGAAGCTTTGTGTATGTAAATTGAGTGTAGAACTCAGTGTTCACTCAGAGGCCATATGTGACAGTTGGCAGCTCAGAATGAAAGAGTTTACATTAGATACGTTACATTTCATTCAGCTGACGCTTTTATCGAAAGCGAATTATAATAAGTGCATCAACCATGAGGGAACAAACCAGAAAAACAAGAATCAAGTCAATACAATTTGCTCCAAAGAGCTAAACTACAAAGTGCTACGATATATAAGTGCAACAATTTGCTCGCAGTGAGGGGGCAGCAAGCCGATTATTCTCCTAATGAGAATAATATTATTCTAATATTCTCCTAATGTTGTGCAGCATGTATCTACATGAGCGTGTTGTTGCAGTAATGTTGGCAGTATGGCAGAGTTGACTGTTGAGTGTCAAAACCCAGGTTCCTAGCAGTCTGGGTGGGGGCTACCACGGAGTTGTCAATGGTAATAGTCAGGTCATGGGGTGGAGGGCTTTTCACTGGAAGGAAAAGTAGTTCAGTCTTGTCGAGTTGAATTTTCAGGTGTCAAGGTTAATTTTCAGGTGACAGACTTAGTGACAGAGAAATAACCCTTCCTAGTTTTCTTCCCCCACCTCCTAAGTGCCACCTTTTACAACACTAACAATATAGAAGTGTGTAGCTCTTTTATTAATCCCTTCATATATATTATATCACAAAATGTTATTATCATTATCTACTCTCCACTATGCCGATGGAGGGGTGGGTGAAGTGTTTGACTCCACAAAACACGTTTGGAGTTTCAGGGGTAAACAGCGTTGCAGCCAAATCTAATACAATTGAAGTAAATAGTGACAATTGGCAAAGTGGTGAGTAGATAATGAGTGTTTATTTTCATTTTTGGGTGCACTATCCCTTTAAGGTATAAAAGCTGTTTGTAGATCAGTACTTATTTTAAGTCTGAGCAGGATAACTTGGGAGACTGGTTTCAACCTTGTACTTTTAGTTGATTAATTCAACCCAGCCTTGACCCCGAGTGTGTGATGACATAACTCACATGAAGCCGCTCTGTAACAGGTACGCATTCCAGAAGGCAGTGACTGTGTGAGTTCGACCAAAAGTGGCACTGAACATCTACAACTGAAGAAATCTTCCAATGACCACAGATATCATGTCAGGTGCACCTCTATCTCTTTAGGTTTTATCACAACAGCTTCCAACCTATGCAGCAAATTTGTCTGAGACACAGCTATGGCACATTCATAGATCAATACTGGCACCAGATACAGTCACGCACACCCAGAGTCTTTGGGTGCCTCCCAAAATGTGACTTTCTGCTAAGCGTGTGTGGTTTTCCCTTGCTGTGGAATGAAATATTAAGTCCTTACTGAGGACACTAAGGGACGATTAAATGAATGGACAGCTGTTCTGACGTCCCGCTGGAGGCTGAGAGCTTAAAATACTTGCAGTGCGATAACAGCCTTATACTGCTCCAACCAACGTTAGACTTCCCTGGGCCCTTTGGCACCGTCGCTGCTGCTACAACCACTCATGCTGCTGGGAGAAAAACAGGAGTCACAGACCAACACTGTCATACAATCTATTCGGCCACACCAGGACGTCATCCTCTTTCATGCTCGGTTTGTGTGCTTGTGGCCTGTACAAGTATACAAGGCTGAGACATCTTTTTGTGCCTCGGCACAGGGCTATGTGTCGGGAGCGAGATGTGCCAAAGAGTGTGTTCAGTACTTGAGAGTGCTAATTCAGATGTATAAATCATGAAGAGGGCCTGTGTCATCATTTTCCATTCCCTGAGTACACTCCACCAACCCGCACCCCCTCTCTATCAACACCCCCTCCCCCAGTCTCCTCTCTTCCTCCCTCCCCAGCTCACTCTGTCGCACAGATTCGATGGAGCTGAAAATACTTCCCTGAACTTGGCATTGGGGAAGGCAGCAGGAGACAGGGCTTGTCAGTGGAGGGTGAATAGGAAGAGAAAGAAGGGTTAGGGGGGGATCTATATGTCAACGATAAAGAGAGTGCATCTTCCTCTCCCCCCTGTCGCCATCCCTGTCAAGTGACCCGCTCTGCTGCACTCATCTGCACCACGTCATAGACACTCACACACCCTCTCACCCTTTATTTCCATTCCTGTCACTCTTCTTCCTTCCATGTTTTCATCGGAACAGTGGATCATTGTTCCTGTCCCCTTTGCTGTTGGTTTCTTATTTCCGAACCCTCTTTCTGCACCATTCCCTTTACTTTACAATTCACCTCCTCCTCACCCTCCTCTTCCTCCTCTCCTCATCTTCAAGGCCTATTTTTTCCACATATTCCTCAAGGCAGATGAGTTGTAAGGTGCTAATGCTGAAAAGCACTGAAAGTAATTTTCATTTATTTTCTATCATTAGAGAATTTTGGAATGATTGCAACAATTCTCCTATCCTGAAAAATGCTAATTGCGGATAATTATTAATAATTAAGATAATTATATTAAAATATAATCATTTGATAATAATTGATGATGATTATTAAACGTGGCATCTATTGCACTTCTGTCCATCCTGGGAGAGGGATCCCTCACATGTGGCTCTCTCTGTTCTTTTTTCCCTGTTAAAAGGTTTTTTTGGTAGTTTGTTCTTACTCTTGTTGAGGGTGACCTTGTTAAAGTACTAACAATGCTATCTAACAATGCTAGGTTATTGCTTGGTGTATTTGTTACATAAATACATACATATGGAAATTATTTTTTTGTTATTTGCCAAATACAAGTGGAAAAGATTTATATCTTAGCACTTTTTTCATCTAAATCTCTTTTCTCTTCCTGTTAAATGGTTTCAACTGTTGATTCGCCCTGCCCTCAGGGACTTACTCATTTCACGTCAAATGAAAATGTTTTGGATCCCAGCTCGAAAGTACATGCCCTTACACCAAAAATGATTCGCTCATGCTTGTCATCTTCCTCTGTTTCATCCTGGTCCAATTCATCAGGTAAATCCGCGGGCATAAGCGAAGGTGGTGACAAACAGAGAGCCGGCTGTCATCATTACTTTCCATGAACTCCAACACGAGACGTCATGAGACAAAATCTTTCATTTTCAGCTTTATTAAAAACCTGACTCCAGCCAATCTCATTCACTCAGTGTCCACAGTCAGCCTCTATTCCTCTTTTTATTGGTCCTTGAGGGTCTAGTGGTAGCACATGACACCCATGGAAACACATGATTGGCTCAGACTTGTAGTATAATGCGACAGCTCAGGTCAGGTAACACAACACGAAAGCTACTTTCAGACATGCACTGAACTGTGGATAATCTTCTGATATTCTCCAGAGGTGCTGCATGTGAGGTTGCAAATGTCCAAGTGAGAGCCTCTGGACTGTCTCTGGAGTTTCATCTGCCAGGGCTTTAGGAAAAACTCAACAGAATTAGCCCATGTGAGAAAACAGCCGGAGATCCAGGATTATTGATGATCAATCATGCGACAAACGCTAAAGTTAAATGAACAAAAGGAATATAAATATCTCAAGTTGAAAAAAGTGGAGGCATACACATCTAAGACGGACTAAGACATCAAGAGAGCTTGTGTTAATAAGAGCCAATGCTGGTGTTGTGCTGTGAACAAAAACCTGTGAGGTCCGGAGTATTATGTTAAGTCGAGCCTTCTGTGCCACCCCTCACCTGAGCACTGGAGATATCTGTGTTGTTGTGAACATGTCTGAGCGGAGAATCTCTTGTTCATGTGTGAAAGGCAAACTGGACCCAATTCTGCGGACCCTCCAGAGTTCATGTCTGAAAAACGTTTTGCTCCACGTCTTTCTAATGTCACCATGAATAGAAAAATAACGCACATTAACATTTCCTCAGAGGTCAGTGGAAACGTAATGACACAGCCACAGAGAAAACAATTGTACTGTTTAATCAAATGCCTTTTTTTGTTGGATCCACATTGTCCTCCCTCTAAAAGTATAATTTAAAGAGTAAACAGAGTTTCTGGCTTGAAGCCTCAGTTGTCATTAAGTTACAGACCAGTGCTTCGAATCACTGGTGATTTCTGTTTGGAGCAAACATTGTTATAGTGAATCATTCCATTGTGTCAACATTTGTGCTTGGAGATGTGATGTTGCAGGTGTTCAGTGCAATAATGCGTGTCAACAGGGGGACATTGAACCGGCAGGCACAATGCAAATGAAATCGATAGCATCAACCTTAAGGCTGTGAAACAGTAGCACTTGGGTCTGCTCCAGAAAGTCATAGTTTACAGTGAAACACAGAGTGTTGTGTAGATGATGTTGTATTGATCTGAACATTGTGTCCTGTCCCCTCTAATACAGAGAAAGAGACGTTTCTGGAGCCGTTTGTGCTGAAGGACCTGCTGCCGTCCTCACTGGGAAGTTACTATCGCTACACCGGCTCTTTGACCACTCCGCCCTGCAGTAAAGTGGTGGAGTGGATCATTTTCAGCAGACCTATCTACGTCTCATACAAACAGGTAAGACACACATATAACAAACAGGTGGAGATCACGTGTGGGTTGTTTTGGTAGAAAAGCTTGGAAGTTGTTATCTGAAGACCACAACTAAAAAAACATAATTATTTTGAGATCTAAGTTTATATTCCTGAAATGGCAATTATTTAAACTGCGATCAGAACTAAATGTGTAATATTATTTCAGCATAACAGCCTCTTCGATATTTGAATGTCTAGGAAAAGTCACTGCAGCTTATTCCTCTAAGTATGAAACACATTATTTGTCATTCTTGGGAAGATATTTTCTCATAACAAAAATGTGGGCTGTTTTACCATAATTAGATAACTCAATCATTATGAAACGATAAGGAGCTAACAAAGACTACACACTGTCCCTTTCTCTGTAAAGAAGTGTCCATGGTTTGCATTTTATTGTGTATTCAGGTTCACAATTTCGACAAAACAAATAAATTAATGAGATGAAAGAAAATCCCCATGGACTGACATGAAGCTTTATTTTCAGACTTTGTCATTTGAGCCACATAAAATAGGCCTTTGAGTTCATATCTTTTTCTAGTGTTTACTACAGCTCATGAACCTTCCCTCCACACATTTTTAGCCCTAGGACTTGAGGACTGTCTTCTCCCTGAACCCTGTGGTATTTTGAGGATGTGTGACGTACCACTGGGTTCAGACTTTGTTCTCACACCATGAACTCTTTTAAAGGGGACTGAGTCAAATACTTTCAGGCATCATTATATGTGTTTTACTTGCACAGACTGCAAAAATAGATTTAGAACTAGAACTCGTAGGGTTCTGAAAGGATGTTTGTTTTATGGGCACATATGTGGTGCTTAAACTGAAGGTACTTTGATCAGCGTTGCCTTGAGGCATGATCAAACTGAGAGTATATACAGTGAGGTCCATCTGCGCAAGCATCCCCCTAATCAAACAGCCACCTCTCAAACTGTCAACTGTCTTTGACCTGACTGGGCTCTTTGCTTGACTTGTGACTGGTGCTGTTGATTGTAGCTTACTTTCTGAAACTGTTAAATTGGTCTTATTTTTTACACTTTAAGTGTTTTAAAATGAAACCGAATTTTGCATTATTACTGTTCACATCTCATATATATGATTTACTTGGTGACATTTTCTTATACACTGCATGTCGGCTATTTCACGTCTGTTGAAACAAGCCACGCTCAGACCAGAGCTCACAACTTTTCAAAATAAAAGCTCTATAATCCTTATTATAATGCATTGCAGCAACAAAACAAACTTGTCTTTTTTTCCTTCTAAGATATAAGAATATCCATATATATTATGCAATTCATATAATGTTGGAAGTGCAAATTCATTTGCATCTTGGCAATGTTTGTTTTGGCCTTTCAGTTTACTGAGAGTCTAAACAGATCAGACAGTTGCCCATGTTTACTTTTCATGTGATGACCCAGAGTCACTGGCAGGATGACAGGGCTGAGTGCACATTCTGCCAGCTAACATCAGGCTGCTGTCCTCTCCTGTCCATCACTGCTCCTTAATGTTGTGTTTAACTTCTACTCCATATACATCCATAAAGTTATTGCAGGCTTTTTTTTCCGGATGTAGCAGCAGCAGGTGGTCTATTGACTATTCTCTGTCAATGTCTGTATCATTTTCTAATGATAAAACACCAACTTTGGTCCAATTATATAAGTATTGTTCCATCCAATGACACCTTGGCAAAATGTATGCATATAGGTTGATGAATTTGTGTGTATAGGCAGGTTGCACAGGGGCTACAGAGTTACTCTAAGTATTCACATCTGTAGCATGATGGATATGAAGAGTAAAACTCTCTCTCTCTCTTTTCTGTTGAATTATGTTAAAGTGGATGATGTGAAGCTAAAATAACATCCCCCATTTTAAACTCATTTTTTCTTTTAATGTATTACAGTTCATCTGAAATAAGTTATATATATATATATATATATATATACATATCATGAATATAGATCTATGAATCTATACCAGAACTTTAATTCTTTGTTGCAARCTCATAATCCACACACTCATACATGGTTATGCATGAACTGCACCAATTCTTTCCTATTCTGTTACTCTCTCTCTCTCTCTCTCTCTCTCTCTCTCTCTCACACACACACACACTCACACACACACACACACACACACACTCTTGTTGAAGTTAAAATACTGTGTGACAGAACCAACCAACATACTGTCATTTTGATGCAGTGCCGTGTGTATTTCCATGTACATATGATTATAAATACATGTCAATGAAAACAGTGAAAAACAGAGATAAGAGTCTTCATTAACAGGAAAGCAGCTCCAGTGTGTTCAGTATCTTTCTTTCCAAGTTCAAAGAACATTTGGCAGACTCGTCTAATGAGACCAAACAAGTTGCTCAAGAGCAGCAGTGGAGCAAACTAAATGTGGATGGAATATTGGCTTCTCTGGCTTGAAGTTAGGGGAACAGGACAGTGTAGTCAGGGGTGAGGGGACATTACAAAGACGAGAGGAGACCGAGGAAGATTGATACGGAAGGAGGTAGAGGCAGGAAGCCAAAGAGAAGGTGATGCACTTTAACCAAACTTCTTTAACTGGGAAAACAGCCCAATCTAAACCTATACACTTCCTCAACTGCTTCCCCTCCTCCATCCAAACAGCCCAGATTGTAGCTAAACTTTGTGTGACAGTTCAAACGTTCTGAATTCATATGCATTATTTTTGATTTCCTGTGAAGCACACTCCATCACCTCAGAAAAGAACTACATACAAACTAGAATGTAAGACGACAAACATTTATACAGTCTTTATTGGTCGGACCTTCATGTTATAATTGAATCCCACAAGCATGGTGGTGACATGTGGCCAGTAAAAGGTTAACTTTGAAAATTTCTGCTGAAGACAAGCTCCTGAATGTATCTTTTAATTCAGATCAATTACATTTTATTTGTAGTGCACTAAATCACATCAAACATTATCTGAAGGCACGTTACAAAGGATCTCTGGATAGATCTTGAATCCTTCATGAGGTGCAGGTTCAGCAGGGTTTTAATGGACCCGGCTTAGTGGGTCAGGTCCTGCCCCTGAATTGGGACAGAACCAGGTTTTGTGGTCTTTTGCTTTGTCATTGCTCATCATAAGACCACAGGTGTAAAGGTCAAGATTTCTGGGTTAGCCAAAAGTACAAAAAAGAACATATCCTATCCTCTGAACTATACTTCAGTACGTGAAGCTGCTATAACTAATATTACAGAATCACAATTAATGAAATGACAATGTAAATTGTAAATGGTCTGTATTAATATAGCGCTTTTCTAGTCTTGATCACCACTGAAGGCACTTTACAGTACAGTTGTTTTTGTCATTTACCCATTCACACACATTAATACATTGCATCTATGGGCAGCACTTTTATTTTCTATGAGGGGCAATTGGGGGTTCAGTATCTTGCCCGAGGACACTTAAGGCAAGGACAAGGTAAAGACTGGGATTGAATCACTGACCTTCTGGTTGGAGGACAACCCTTCAGCCACTGCTGCCCAAAAACCAAGTGGTAATGTGAGAGGACAGCAGAATGTGCATCTCAACTCAGCTTTACAGTGTTCAGCTGTCCACTCAGTAAAGCAACTGTTTTGCTGAATCTCAGAATGTCCATAACTGCCACAATACAGACATTTAATTCATTTGTGGGGATAAATCCAGTCTCACATCCACAAACTGAGCAAGACTTTGCAGAGTTTATCCCTGACACTGAACCTACTCTGCGACACCAACTCAACTTTACAAGTCTCATTTGTGCAGTAAACTCCACAGATACATTGAAAGCTGTATTTTACCAGAAAAGCTCTGCCATGATAAATACGTGTACATTTCAAGGCAACCATTTAAACCTATTATATGGTTTTAATCTAATTTCAACATCAGTACGTCTCATTTGTTAAAGGCAAAGGATACAAAAAAACAATACTTCAAAGTCAACATGCAGGAAATTATGCAAAAGCAAGCAGAATATTAAAATGGGAAAATTAATCAAATAGGAGTCAACTGAAAAGCAACTGACAGTGGCATCATTCATTCTTTCTGTTCTTTGGCTGCTGATTTCAGACCATTTGTCACTCCGTCTCAACAACAGCCTTGTTTGAAGTCCTTTGTTTTCTCCCCTTCTTTTTTTGCTGTGCGACTCTCCTGAGAAAACATCATGGAGAAAGATAAATGGCAGAAGGAGAATTAACACTGATGGTGACTGAAGTTATTGTCTCTTTCTACCTTTTTGTGTTTGATTTCTCTCTCTCCTCTTTTTGTGAGCCTTTTGTTTTGGATGATAGTTGAAGTAGGTCAGCAGGAGAGACAGCAGTTGCTTTGGGCCAGCTTTTAAAGTGGATCGATGCTCAGGTTCTTGCACAACAACTCACCTCAAATGCCTTCCTTTCAAACAGACATGTAGACTTGCCACACTTGTATTTGTCCACCTGTTGTGAGGGTATGTGTGAGTGTGGGAAAGTGTGGGAAACCTTAGATGACTTATACAATGTTGCTCTCACATCACAGTTACTCTCAATATTATCTGCAAAGGGAGAATTGCTGGTGAGTTCTGTCTCTGTGCAGCAATTCCAAGTGGAGTATGTGGGATTTTCAGCCTGTGAGAAGATTCAAATTGTATTATGTTTATGTGTAAAAAGCTCCTCAAGAATCACTGATGTGGTGGCATCCTCAATAATCCAACCCAAGGTTGTTTGCTTGGCCTGTAATGCTCTGTACCGTACACTGTACCTTTTCGTCAGAGCTTTTTGATAAACAGTCTATAGTGCAGAGTGAAGAAAACCTTCTGCTCATCCTACATGGTTTATCTGCAGTAAGTTTCAATAAATGGTGTGTTTAGTGTATGTATTTATTAGTGATTTGATTTATTCACACTCACCATGATAGAAAACACTCCATCAGATGTGACTTTACATTGAAAGTATGTAATAGAGTTACATGGAAATTGAATATGTAAGTCAACTAGATAAGAAAAAAAAATTTGGCAAAATTATTGTTTGAGTGTAGCATTTAGTGCAACAAGTATTGTCTGTTATCAAAGAGCCGTGACAGAAAATTAGATGGAAATACAATTTTTGTGGGTGGAAACAATTTAGCCTATAGATTCAATAACAGATAAGCAGCTGTGTGGCAACACTGAGTAATTCCAGGAAAATGGTGAAAAAGAAAAACTTCTTGCTGAGCAACCCCAAGAACAGATTCGAACAGTTGTATAGCCCTTAGAAATACCCCAATATCTTGACAACCAAATATGTTTTTGAGCTGCAAATCACCAAAGCAGTGTTATTTAAATACAAAGGGCAAGGAGTCTACATATTAATATATTTGGCAGGGTTTTTCTTTTCAACCATCCCCACCATCCGGATTCTGATCCCTCCTGCCCATAGCAATGACGTACGAAGCTTTCTGTCTGGGCCATGCCACTGTGACATCAGCACATAAAATATGTATCTGAGGAAATGCAAACAGTTACTCTTTTCCTCATTTACAAGTTATAGACTGAGAACAAGTCTTGTTTACTGCCTCCAAAAGTACAAAAAAAAAAAAGAACAGCTTTAGCTTGAGGCAGTGGAAACTCAGTGTGGAGAAAAACATTGTGGATTCTGTCCCTGTTTCTCTGATAGAGGATGTTGTTCCCCATAGCAACAGATACAAGCTGCCTATAATCTTCCTATACTGTCACGTGAATCTTTTTCTGCTGTGACTGAGACATTTCTGCTCTGATAGTATAGTGTTTTCAGCTCAGGTTTGCAGGATGTGGAGGTTGGAGATACATGATGGCCTGGTATGAGGCTGTACTGTGATGTGTATACCAGTACTGTCCGAAGCTGATCCAGTAGCTGATCCAGTAGCTGAAGCCTCTAAACCTCATGTACTACTGCAGTCCACTGTGTGTGGAGGAACACACACACAAATGGTGTATGTCAAGAGTTACAGTTCATTACATGCAATAAAACTTTACAAGTGTCACAGAAAATATGCTCTTGATCTTACACAAGTAGAGGAACCAAGGATTTTCACACTTCAACAAATCGGGTTTTGAAAGCTTTTAAGAACATTACACTAGTCCATTTCTTTTAATACACCCATGCTTCAGCTGCTTTAGAACTACAGGAATGTATGCCCAGGAACTAAACTGCACTGGACCTAGGTCAACTGATTCCACCTTCAATTCAAATAAACTACACACCCCAGTCTTACAAAGGCATGCCAATGAATATAACTTGCAACTTGAAACATCAGAAATGTGTGTTCAGATAAAAAGATAAATCATCAGTTCATAAAAAAGCCATATCTGTAACACAAAAAGGTAAGTTAAGAGCCATGCCTGGATCTGTATTTATTTTGTATTTTTTCAGTGTGACCTCCATTCTCAATTCTTTGTCCAGACTAAACCCTGAGGGTTTAATAAGTCTTGGTAAACAGTGAATTCAGTCTGGGGCTTTTTCTTATTAATCCTTTGCTTTGACGCTCACATTTGACTTTCATCATCAGAAAGTCACCCCTAAAGCTGGTCACCAAAGCTGGCAGGCTGATGTTTTATGGGCGTTGTACATTTGTTTTGCAGCAGCTTGGGGGGCTTGGGATTTGGGTTTGCTGCAATCACATTCTGCTCAGGAAAAAAACTAATTTCCTCAACCACTATTATTTTTCTTTGCAGTAGTTGGGGATGTTTTATAATTTATCCATGAATGACTTTGCTCCAGAAGGAGATATCTCATTGCCTACTGTCTTTAAATTCCGTACGGATATTCACGGTATCCAGAGGATTTCAAACTGTGTTTGATTCAGAATAAGGTTTCCACTTCAGTACACTATTGCAGCATTTTGGCAATGAGCCTAATTGATAAAATGATAAAAATTCTCATAGACACTCTATTAAGTGCCATCACTAGAAAGACTGCTCCATATCAGTACTAGAGGTCTGAAATACTGCAGCATATCTCTGAGTACTTACAGAAATAAATCAAGGATGGTCAAGTCATCATTTATAGTCAGGCTCAGGATAAACACCTCATTTTGCTGTGGTTTGGTTTCTGTTTTAGTTTAGAGTATATGGTTGTCATACAGCCCAGAAGAATTTGCTGTCCTCAGATATTTCCTCACTGAGACTTTTACCTTAATTTAACTGAATCTTCCTCTAACCCCCCTCCTCCCAGCTCTGCCTTGCTCACAAGCTGTTTGTCTGAGTGCATTGCTTCCAAACACATTGTACAGAGTATCCATCTGCCAACACAGGCAGAAAGATGACACTTCAATCACACAGTGCAAATCCATGTCTGCTCGCCCATCTTGCCACACAGCATGTGTTTGACAAATGGCAACAGGAAGAGGCCAACTTCAACATCAAACCAAAGCAGTACAAAATGTTCACAGCTTGATAGCATGGCAGCTAAATTAAGATTAAAACAATTTTGGCAAAACAGTGTCAATGCAGCCGAGATAGTAACTTTCACAAATAACAATATCTACAGTATTTCATCTAGAAAAAATATGTTCGTATGTAGGAATTTAACAATGGCAGAAGTGTTCTACGATGCACTTCCTGGTTTACCATACGGAACCAAGGATTCACCCTGTAGTTCAACCAGGTGCAGAGAGCTATGTTCAGAGATACGAATGTGAATTGGCTTCAGTCTGTACATGACAGCTACATTTGGCAAGAATTTGGAGGTTGCTTCCGAGAACCAGCTCTTTCAGTGATTCATCATTCACTATGGTGTGAGTTTGGCACCTGGTCTTACCCGCTCTAGACTGCTGATGGGACATGCCTTTTTGGCTACCTTAGCCAGAGCTCTTTCAGATACAGTTTATGCAAATAACAACAGGACAGTATTTCAATGTGTTCATCACAATACTGACTATTTCAAGGACTTGGCCAACTCCAACACTACATTAGTAGGGCTGTTTGGTCTGTGGCCCACAAGATACCACAAGGCAGAGCATGAATATCAATCAGAACTCTACAACTGCAATTATCCAGCACTTCACAGATGCAGGTCACAAGGATGCTCATTCACTTAAAGTCCACGTATTTGAAGTAATCTCCAAACATGTGGGAGGAGAGGCTGGTTTTTAGGGTTTATGGTTGACAGACTTAAACAACTCCTCCGGTGGGAGAAACTATTGATTGAAATCCTGATTCATGGATATGTGATAATTTGAGGATGCTCATTAGAATGTTCTGAATTATATGAACATGCAAAATCAATCCGTTATTGGTAAGTTTGCTATCTTCATGACTTATTTGACTATGATCGTCGCTTTGTGCCTAACTCTTTGTTATATTCTTTGCTCCATTCACTGGTGACATAATTTCATGAAGCTTGTAGTGAACAAGCTATATGTCTGAACTATTGTCTTTGGATATCTGTCTATTGTCCCTTTAAGTTTCTTGGTTTATATTTGTGTATCTTTATTTGTCTGAGCTAAGTCCACTTTATGCCATATTTTAAATGATATCACTACAACAATGTCCACAATGTGGACTTGACATATTTTAGAATTTAACTTGAGCAGTGACTCCCAGGAGTTGCGATTTTTTTTACCTTACTGTTAGTTTACTGATAACTTTACCGCCCAGCTCTATCCCCCTTTCACAGCCTCTATTCTAAGATATTCAAATCATATTTTGGCTCTCGCTCCATATCCAACCCGCAGACATGGGATTGGTATGAATCCTTTCATTTAAATCTTGGCAAGCTTGAGAATGAACATATTTCTGGAGATGTCAAATTATTCCCCCTAGAAAACAAAATACGAACCCATGGTATGGACATTTTAAATCATCACTCCTGATGGACAAGTCTTATTTCCTTTCGAACACATTGAACATTTTCAACAATATTTTAAAGATGTCCTGGTAATATGTCTATGTATTAATTGTTCATATTTTTCACTGATGCATGGATATACTGTTTACCCAATGTGTTCCTCATATAATGGTATTATTAGTCATTTATTCCCAGTATTCTCCTTTATGATAAGCCTTTGTTTTGATGCAGCAGTGACCCAGTTTTCTCACAGGGATCATTAAAATTTCATCCTTCCTCGACTTTTATTGCAGTTATATATCTGCATTGCATTCTCATATTGTGTATTTTGAGGGGATGGTAAGAATGGCTTCTTCTGCTAGATGGATGTAAAAATCACCAACTCAAAGTCACCAGGAGTGACTGAGTTAGTGAGTTGCGTCTGGAAGTAACTCTTCTTTACGTTTCTCCCTCCATTTCTCTGTCTTTGCCTTTCGCCTCTCTCCCTGCCGGCACCAGTTGGAAGCTTTCTACTCGATCTTCACCACGGAGCAGCAGGACCATGTTAAGTCAGTGGAGTATCTGCGCAGTAACTTCAGGCCCATCCAGAGCTTGGATAATCGCCATGTCTTCAAGTCAGCAGTCAAAGATGCCTGGCTACCCGACCTGACTGACAGTGCCAGTGGACCATACGGCACAGAGGCTTCCAAAGGTTTGTAATAAAAAGCACTCTATACCTGGTCTATACAGAGCCTGCATAAAACTATGCTTCATCTAAAAGACATTTAATATCCTTATTTATTTACATTAAAATAGTAACACTGAAAACAGTGAATTAAAGAAACTCAAGGTGAAATGAAATGACCTTGACCTTAGATTTTTTTCATCTTGAGTTCTTAAAGGAGAATCATGTGTATAAGCGTCGACTTTTTTTTTTTTCAAAAAGTAAAAGTCGCAGATGTTGTTCTGCTGCATATAGACCCTCTCCAATTGCTTCATGTAAGCACTTTTCCTGCCCACTGATTTATATAGCATCATTAAAGTTCCTCTTCTCGCTAAACTGGTCCAATATTCTCACATTATTCCTGGATGGTGACATTTTTTAATGTTAATAAATGAGGGATATTTAGTGTTGCTCACATGCCCAGAGGAAACTGATTGTCTTCTCTCGTGTGTGTGTTTGTGTGTGTGTGTGTGTGTGTGGTCTGGGCTAGCTCTCTGTCATTTCACCAGCGAGCTGGGTAACTCCCCTAGCATAAGGCAGTGGGAGGAACACCAGCCGTCCTCCCACTCCTGCCTCATTACCACTCAAACAACACCACACATTTTGCAGTTTGTGCGTGTTCGTGAGTGTGTGCGTTTGCGTGTGTGTGTGTGCTCACGCATGTCTCTCAGTGTATTTGCAATTGCTCGTGTGTGGCCTAGCATCTGTGCTGTGTCAACTGTCCTAGCAGGGTTTGTCCCCTCCCTTACTTCAGGCACACTTCCATATGGTCGACTACAAGAGAGGTGCATCACCTAGATGTACACACATCTACACAACCGACTCACATGTATGTACTGTATATGTGTCCTGGCACTGCTGCATGCTCCTACAGTTTGTCCTTGAGCGCAGCAGTGGGACATTTGCTGTAAGCAGAACTATAAGGCTGGCAGAGGAGACACAGAAGAGGAGGAGGATGAAGGACAGCAGGGGGAAAAAGGCAAAGAGGAGAATCGGAGCTGAAAACAAAAAAGACAAGCAGACACACAGAGAAATCAAAGCACAGAGAAATGTTTTTAAACACCTCTCCAAATCTGGACCTCACAACACACGAGTGATTGGAAACCTGAACAAAACCTATACAGCAGCTCACCCACATGAGTCATTTTCCTTCCCTTCCCCCCTCCCTGTGCTCATTTATTCCATTTAGCTGTGGCTCAGCCTCATCAGCTTCCTTCTGCGACTGATTGTTTCCCATCAGCCATTTTAGTCCATTTACTTTTGGGTGTATGAATGAATGGCAGCCTCACATTTAGTGAGCCAGGATGATGGATAGATGCACGGAGTCAGAAAACACAGAGGAATAGCGTTTGAGCGTTATTGAGGCTACACCCCCACATTTTTTTTAAATGTGTTTCATCTTGTACACCGTAATTAATAAAATGATCAATATAACTTTCATCTCTCAAGTCCAGTGACCTGACCCGTACCCATAAGATTAATTAAAAACAGGATACACAGTCACTCATTGTGAAACGCATCCACACTGTGCTCATGCAGAACTTGCATGACAGCTGGTCAGATTGTTTCCTCCATATAATATATTGTCCCATGTCACCAATGACTGGCACAGTCAGTTTGTTCTTGTTGTTGATGGTATGCGAAGTGATAGAAAGATAACCCATTTTATTTTGTCATCTGTCCACGTGTCCAGAGAGACTCCCCCACAACAGTTCCCATTAACGTACTCTTTTCCAGCCTAGCAGTTTATGAGAACATCTTGAAATAGTTTCTATGATATTTACCAATGCTTTTTTATAATGTAGTTGTATAATGTAACCCAAATTTAACCCCAAATCTCTGCAGTCTTTCCTGATCCTGCTGTCATTACAGTGTGTGAACATGGTCCATTGTGTAGACTGTAGGCAGAGCTACATGTTAGAAATGGAATATAATATTCATAATGATGTTTTCTTTGGTTGTGATCACACAAAAGTAAGCACCACTCCATTCTTTTACCTTAGAGGCTACCATAGACGTTCCTATATGCTTTGCAATGTGAAAGGCAGGGGTGCTCTGAGATACAATCTGCAGCCTCACTGCTATAGGCCAATGGTAAATGGTTGTATTTATATAGCGCTTTTCTAGTCTTGAAGACCACTCAAAGCAATTTACACTACAGTTTTCCATTCACCCATTCACACACACATTCATACAGTGCTTCTATAGCTAGACCTTCTGGTTGGAGGACGACCGCTCTACCCCATCAGCCACAGCCACCCCAATAAATGCTCTATGTCTTTAAAACCCCTTAATCCCACCAGGGTCTTCCAGTCTTAGGGCCTGCACAGTTTGTGCAAAGTTGGGCTCATAACATGCTGGTCCTGTCTCTGTACTGGACTGAAATTTTAATCTTTCAACTCCAGATCATAGAGCAAACAAACATTTCCAAGTTGTCAGCCCATTCCTTTTAAAAATGAATTATAACACATCAGAAAAACTCAAGGTCAAGTGGTGAGAAAAATAATGATAGGGTTTATGTGGGATTTAGAACAAGAAATCGTAAGAAAGCCAAAAAGACCTTGACTGACAAAATTGAGCAAAGGCATTTTGGCCTCTTGACATTTGCTCCGAAAGAGTACCCTTCACTTTGAAAAGAAACGTGTTTGTAAACCGATGAGAAGCATTCAAAAGCCAAGCAAAGCTGAACTCTGCCCTTTCCTAAGTTCCTGAATCACTATCTGGCATTGGCACTTTCCAGTATATGCTATCAACAAGGAAAAACCGAAGATTTTTTTCTGCATGAGCACAGTGTGGACTGCATTCAATATTTATTTATTAACATGAAATTAGAATAACACACACACAAGTATCTGATGACATGTCTATAAGAGGCTGTCTTAAAAAGACACTTGTGAAATAACAAGTGGGCCTATTTGCAGTCTGGCAAGTTTAAGTGTTGATGTTTCAGTGAAAACTTTGTTAGTGAAGGTAGTAAGTAATGTTGCACTAGCTACAACTGAGACAACAATCGGGAAAGGAGGACAAGTTTAGTTTGTCATTTATATGTCAAATAATGTTTAACTTTCTATTGTTAGGTTTTACTGTGAATCAACAAGCATTATGTATTCTCAGTATGATCACAAAGCAACAACCTGCAGTGTTATCGCAAACTTACAAAATCGGCAAGGGATCAAATAATTATTTCCTTCACTGTAGCTGCTATGTGGAAAATGCCAGCCATGCCACTTCCATCCATTCATCCAAAGTACCCAGGAGGTTGTCCAATTGTCGTGGCTGCCGTTACTAGGCAACCAAAACTGCTTGTCCAATTAGTAATTAGTCAAAACAAGGATAAATGGATTTCCAGCAACATAAAGGTTCAAATATGAGGACGGAATTGATATAGACCAGTTTTACCTTCTTCTCTCTCCCTCTACTTCAGCTGTGCATGAACGTGTGTCCTCAGGATTACTTCATTAAAACAGTTCATTTGTTTGTGAATTGCCCTTTCTGGTGCAGAGAATTATTGCACTTACTCTTTCTGTGTTTTTTTTTGTACTTTGTTAAAAAGATTTCCAAACCATGCTTTAATCTCACATGCGTATATTTTTCAATCAAATTCAGTGATTTGATTAAATTGTTAAAATGACTTTATTAAAGGAAGAAGTGCAACAGGAATGTGCTTTTTCTTCTCTCTGAACATGTTCTTTTAGTTTAGATATTCAGTTGAGAATGAGAATGAGGTCCCTGAATAACATAGAATGCATCAATAACTATTTAACTAAAAGATACAAGTACAGTATTGAGTAGTTTGAACAATGCAAGTGCGAAGTGCCACTCAATTTACAGTCCTTCACGACATTAAGAGGTTGCCAGTTATAAAACAATAACAGCGTGGATTTTTTTTAGCACACAGATGAGCTATTCTCAAAGATTAGGAAAAATATGAACACAAGCACTAAAATGTTTGGCTTTTGATCATTTCTACAGATGTTAAACGGCTTTTAATAGTGTAAAGCAGGATTTGCCCCCATCCCTTGATATAGATACTATTTGTTTCTAGTTCCAGCGAATCCATCCCAGTACAAAACCTTGCAGACCGACCCACAATCAAGACCAATTCATAGATCAACGTTGATCAACATGCTGCATGGCCAGCGGCGTCCTTTACTCCTGCTGTTGGACTCAGAGTTATTAGAGAAAGAAAGAGAGAGTGGTCCTCTGTGGGTTTTATGTGTGTCAGGCACCCCCTAGACTCCATCACTCATTGCCATCCGGAGTTCTCCCCTGTGTGTGTGTGTGTGTGTGTGTGTGTGTGTGTGTGATGTGTGTGTGTGTGTGTGTGTGTGTGTGTGTGTGTGGGAGATGGCCGCTTATCTTTGATGAAAGCCGTAAGAGGATCTGTTCATCACCCAGCCAGACACACTGGGCTACAAAACCCTTTCAGCTGAGTTACACACAGGGAATATTAGAAGTTGTTTAAAGTGACCTGTTGTAGCAATTCTGCTACAACAGGCCAATAGGTGTGTACTATATAGGGGTACTAAGTGTGTGCAGGGAGACACAGGCACACACACACACACACACACACACACAAGCATGTATGTATAGTGTATGTTTGTATGTGGCAAAAGAATTACAGACAACACAAGCTTTTTTTAAAGAATCTGTCCAGATTAATGAAAATATGGTGGAAGCCACAGATTAAAAAGAAAATACAAAATAGCATTTACACACCTTTTTATGGTGGTTTACCCACTTGTTATTGCCTGCCTGAAAGATTGAGTCAAATTCACAAATTATTTCTGTGCATTATATGGCATTATTATGGCACCTGACCCCTGCTCTCCTCAGTGTACAGCCCTCACTGCTTGCACACTGTCAAAGTCCAGTCTCTGTTGCAAACTGACCGAGCTGCAATCAAATGTATTTAAATAGTACGATATCAAAACAAACAGTTGTCTTAGGGTGCTGCACAAAAGTCCAAGATCTTAAAAAAGACACAATCCAACTTGTTCCACACCGAGCAAGCATGAGCAACAGAGGGAAGGAAAAACTCCCAGTTGGAAGAAAACTCCGGCAGAACCGGGCTCGGTGTGGACGGCCTCTGCCAGGACCGGTTGGGGTGAGTGGAGAAAAAAAAAAAGGGGAACATGCATTAATGTGAAAGCAGGATTTTACTGTTTCTATGCAAAAATCTTCTAGTGGAGTGAAAAGTACAATATTTGTCTCAGATCTAATGGAGTAGATATATAAAGTAACATTAAATTGTCACACTCAAGTTGTCCCTCAAATACAGTAATTGAGTAAATGTACACTATTTTTCTCATTGAGTTACATCCATCAGGCAGAGTCCGTGTGTGACGGGAAGAAAGGGTGGGGGGCAGCGCAGGGAGGGTGTTGAGCATCCCGACAGCCTGGTGGATGAAGCCATCTCTCAGCCTGCTGGTCCTGGCCCGTAGACTCTACAGTCTCCTCCCTGAGGGTAGCAGGCTGAAGAGGCCATGTGACGGGTGGGTGGGGTCACCTGCGAGGCGGAGGGCTCTGCGGGTGAGTCGGGTGTTGTAGATGTCTTGGAGGGGGGACAGAGGGACGCCGATGATCTTTTCAGCCGCTCTCGCGATGCACTTGAGGGTCTTCCGGCAGGACGCGGTGCAAGCGCCATACCACACGGTGATGCAGCTGGTCAGGATGATCTCGATATTGCCTCTGTAGAAGGTGACCATGATGGGGGCAGGGGCTCTGGCTGTCCTCAGCTTGCGGAGGAAGTAGAGGCGCTGGTGAGCCTTTCCGGCCAGTGATGCAGAGTTGTTGGTCCAGGAGAGGTCCTCTGCAACATGCACTCCCAGGAACTTGGTGCTGCTCACCCCCTCCAGAGCACATTGTTTGTGTCTTAATTATAGAAACCTATGTGGGATTTTTGTAAGAATACACACAGAACAGACGAATTTGGTGAATTTGACAAAATGTTTAATGGTCTAAAATCAACATAGCATGACTAACTGATGCTCATGTGAATTAGATAAGTACCAGGGCTGCTAACACGTTGACAGTGAGTTACACCAGTCAGATTGTTTGCTAGCCTCACTTTAACCGTTTGGGATTTATAGGGTCTTTCACATATTTAGGTTTTGCAACTCTGTGGAAGGGTTCGCTTTGAGTTCATTACTGTGCCGCTATTCTCTCTGTTTTCAATTTTGATTCATTTTGAAACATATGACACATACACACGTACACACACATAAACAAAGGGGGCTCAGGTAGATATAATCTATTAGATATGCTTTCCCAGCATCGAGGTTATTCACTGTTAGACTTCCAAATGGCGTCTATTTGTGTTTTACTTATGTGTTTGCTTCTGTGTGTGTGTGTGTGTGTGTGTGTTTTACTTGTGTGTGTGTGTGTGTGTGTGTGTGTTTGTGTGTGACTAATGGCTTTAGTAATGCTAAGCCACAAGGGGCTCAACTGCAGGTTATGAATAGAAAAACTCCACTGCAGCTCTTTATGAGCAAGCTAATCAATTTGGTTCCACAAGGCACGTGAGCTCTATTCTCAATCAACCCATGTTCATCGTCAAATTACCTTACGCATTTGCATAATATGATACAGTGGTTGGAATAATCATTATGGGCTTTGTTGGATGGTAATACACTACTCTCTCTTATAGTCAACAGTAAATAGTTTAACGAATTGCTGCCCAAAATACTGTACACTGGAAAAACACTGAAGAAAGTATGTGGACACAGAACATTCCGCACCACATGTCATTTTAGCATGTGCAATTCCATCTCCTCTACTTTAACAGCCTCCACTCTTCTTTGAAGACTCTCCACTGGATGATAGAGCCTGGCTACAGGGTTTGCTCCCATCCAGACACAAGAGTATTAGTGAGGTCCGACAGTAACGTTGAGTGAAAAGTCCTGACTTACAGTCAACACTCTAGCTCATTCCAAATGTGCTGAATGGTATTCAGGTCTGGATTTAGGTATGCAGTCAAGTTCCTCCACACCAGAGGTTATTGGTTAAAGTACCAGGTTTGAATCTAACAATGCACCTGAATAGCAATATAACAATTGTAACCATTCCTTTTGTTTTTATTGTCTCTCATTCATTATATACATAATGAATATACATAATATATTTAGAGATGATTGGATCTTTAAAATCAATGCACATGAACTTCAACCAGATTATGAAAGCGTCATTAGTTCAATTAACTCACTTGAAGAACAGTGGGTGAGCATGTTCCACACCGAACAGGAAAACACATTTCTCTATGGAGCTGGCTTTGTGCATGGAAGCATTGTCCTGTTGAAACAGGAGGCGTTTTACCCCAGCACATGGCCAGCACGAATAGAGGCCAGACACTAAAACACTGAGGGTGTGAAGTTATGTGTACGCTAATAGTTTACATGGTAAACAACACTTCATGCAAATGTTTCACTTTGAAAACCTATTAGCAGTAATTCCCTTTGAGCTGCTGAAAGGCTTTTGATGTGAGAACACTGTAAAGAAGTGGTGCGTTTCTTTGATGGCGGCCTAAACCGCTATTGCAAAATGGCTGAATGTAAGCAAAGCTGGGAATAATATTACGAATGAAAACAGTTTTTCTGTTCGAGGAGATAATGGAATTAATGTGTGGAACACGGGATTTATCAGGCCTTCAGGTAAACACGGAGGACATTTGCACAGCAAACAGCGTCAACGGCAGATTGGAATGGGAACAAATCAGAAAACAGTAAGGGATCTTACTGTATGAAAGACATACAGTATTATAGAGGATGACGAGAGCCTTTGTCTTATGTAAACCTGTTTCATATTTGGGAATTTATGGTCATGATCAAATATTTGAGAAATGAAATCAAACTTGAAGTGTCCCCGTTGCTGAGCAACCTCAGTGGTCAAACAGAGACCCTCAGTGGTCAGGAGCAGCTGGTGCAGGGCTCGTCCTCTGAATGGAGAGAATTGTATATGTATTGCTGAATTCATCAGAGAAACATACAATGTTTATGTGTTTACTTTCATATCTGTCACAGCCACATATTAGAAGGCAGAGCAGGTTTTCTGCATTATGCCTGAAGGTGATTATATATGAACCCATGTGTTGTTGGAGCCGGGAGGCAAAATCTGTGTGTGTGTGTGTGTGTGTGTGTGTGTGTGCCTGTGCATGTAGCAGTTCTGTGTGCCTGTGTTTTCCAAATTGTATGTAGGCAGAATCCAGCTATTCAGACGTGTGCGCACTAGATTCTGTTATGGTGTGCATGCGTGTATGTGTGTGTGTGTGTGTGTGTGCTGATGACTCAGAGCAATATTAATAACACATCATGAATACAACTCATGCTCACATAACTCTCTCTCTCTCCCTCCCCCCTGTATGTGTATTCGAAAGATAAGCTGAGCCGATATATTTAGCCATTAAATTATCTGCTCCTTTCTCCCTAATTATTATTGCTTTATTCTTCCTTCACATTATCCCTTCCGTCTGTGTCTTCCCTCACTTGTCTTCCCTCTTGTGTCCATCCATTACTTCCTTTCTCATCCCTTCCTCTGACCTCACTTCCTAATTTTCTCCCTCATCTTTATTGGTTTCATTGACCTCCTCCCTTCCTTTTAAATGTCTTACTTACTGCTTTCCATCCTTTCTGACGTTCCACTTCCCCCTTGCTGAATATCCTCCTTCTCTAAACCCCTCCAACCAACGATCCATGTTCTTTTTTCCTTTGTACTTTCTTTGGGTATGGCTTTTTCGCTCTGCCTCCTCCCCCTCCATCCTCAACCATTTTTCTGCCTTTTCGTTTTCCTCCGCTCTCCTTCCTCTTTTCCCCTTCTTTTTGCATCTCTTATCTTATTGCCTTCCCTTCCCCTCCCCTCTTTTCTTTTTTTATAAACTCCCCTCCTGCTCACCTTGTTTCTCTGTTTTTTCCTCCATCCTTCTCCCAGTATGTAGCAGCGCTCCCATCAACATGAAGGTGCAGCATGTGAACAGCAGCGCTCTCGTGGTCCGCTGGGCTCGCCCAGAGATCACCTACCACCCACCCATCCTCCACTTCCTGGTGTCCTACAGCTGGACAACCCACGACGACAGCTATGAAGAGACGCACCTCACAGATCCCAAGCACAAACTGGTGAGATACGATTATTCGCTTCCAAGTGATTAAAAAAACACATGACATGAGAGCATATAGTGCATGCACTGTAAGATACATCAGGAACAAAGCAGGTATGGATCAGGTATGAGGGGAGCACTGCAGTTATAACAGAAAGAATACGTGATTTGTCTTGTGTGGTGTTTGTTGCAATGTTGCATAAAAGCAGCTGATTCCTTTGAAAAGTCCAGAGCTGTAATGTTGACTTCTACCTCTGAACGTTGCTTTGTGATGAGATCTGCTGTGGGAAAATAAAACCCACAAAACAAACACCAAGGAATCGCTTCACTCTGTGTAAATAAGGGTAAATATGCAAGCTGTGCTTTATTCTATCAGTATGATTGGAGAATCATTACCTTAATAGAAATAATCATTATCTGACCCAGGCACCGTAAGTGCCGAACAAAACGAAATATTTCTTTAATTTCACTTCAATATTCACACTAATAACACTGATGGCGACATTTTTATTTATTTTGTTTTATTGTGAAACCACACTAGACCACAGATAGATCTCACTGTAAATATTAAAAGCCAAGTCAAAAACAGGACACTATCCCCATTTAGTTAGTTGGAATTGATTGTATGTTAAAATTAGTAAAAAGAAAGAAAAAAGAGACAAAATAGCTGCAAACATTTGACACAAAGAAGAGAAGAAAAAAACAGGATATCAAAGTCCTGAGCTGTGTCCGCCAAACCAGCCAATGGCATCTGTGTGGCAAAAGAACGTCATACTTCCTAGACTGGAAAAAACATGTACTGCTAGGGAACACATAACATTTAGCAAGTCAAATTAGTAGGACAAAAATATATATTTTCTAGGCTGCAGTCACAATACATGTCACTTACCAAAATAAAAATCTGATAAAATTAACTTGTCTGAATAAAAGGCAGCGCTCAAATCCCCCTCAGACAAGCAAAGATGCCAATACTCCACACAGTGTCCCCAATGTGTCAGCATCCACAACAATACAATAACCCAGTTTCCCAATGCTTTGTCTTTGGTATGGAGCAGCCTCAGCCAGTCTGCAGTATATATATCTTAGATATATCAATGTGCCCATTGCTTGCTGTGAGTGTGTCAAATGTTTAAGACACATTTATCACATAAATTATTATACCTGGTGTTTAACAGTGTTTCATATAAGGAAACACACACACACACACACATGTCATCTTCTTCTGGTGTGTCTCCCTTGGCCTGGTTTGAAGAATACAGAAAAAGCTCTGTTCCGATTTTTCTGACTCATTGTTTTGGCTAATTTGGACCATAAAGCAGTCCCACACTGAACGTCTTCTTCATCCAGAAATGTTAAATGGCAAAATCCCTGGGGTGAATAAATGCACATGGTCTCTGATGATGTTGAGAAACTATACAGCTGTAATAAGTCTTCATCTCCACACTGGCCATAGAGAGATGTTCTGTACAGAGCTACGATGGTGAAAGATCAACAGCCCTGGTTTGTAGCCAGTGTTTGTAGCTCAGTGGCAGATGCACCCTTGTAGTCTCATGTAAGTTTGTTTGATGGGACAAAGCATTTTTTGAACAGCATGAGGAAAGTTGACTACTACAGTGTAGTCTCTGTACAACGTGTGGATAAGAGGAACAATTTCAGCAACTAACAAATCTCCCAGTGTATTATATTCGGATAGACCTGAAACCAATCTGACGTATCCTTATAACAGAGCTTGTCCTGTGGGAAGTAGATGGTAGACTTTTCATTGAATGATTTATTTTCCAAACTACTCAGGGGATTTTAATGGGGAAAAAACAGAGGAACTGCTGAGTTTACAATAACACTTGTAACAACAAATCGGTCATTGTAAATGCGTGTACAATAATACATTAAAGTATGCTTATAGAACAGGTGGGGATAGAAATAAAGACATGTCTCTAACAGTGGCATGTGTCAGTTCACAGCCCCTTTCATATGATGTTGAGCAAAAAAAGTTATGCTGTACATTGTCTCCTCGTCCCTCACTAAAGTTGATCTTCATGTCTGTATTTAGAAGCTATGCAGGATTCAAAAGATCCAATTAGGTCACAGCAAATTCCTGATTCCAGATGACCGTGAGCTGATCGTCAGCCAATAATCAGATGATCTTCCTGAACTCCAACTACAAACACTCTCACAGGATAAAGTGCATTCAGACATTTTTGTCCACTGTTGCTTTTTTCCCTTCTCCTTTATTCTACCCATTTTTCCTCCCACTTCCTTCCTCCTTTCCCTGCTGATGCATTACCAGCTGAAAATACACCAGCCGCTGCTCCGGCCTACAGCCATATGATGTTTGGTTAGCTTGATTAATGGACTATGATTTACCCTTATCACTGGGATGCCCTGTACATAACATGGACATATTTTAATCGTGTAGTATATTTCCATCTGTCCAGATGAATTTCTCATTAGACAGTGCAAGTGCTTTGAATGGAGCCAATGTCAACTTTATTTGCTGTAATTGTAAATTATAATGAGCATATTACGGACTAACAGACAGTCAGACGCAGTTGCTCTTGGGAATGTATATGTCTGTGTGTGTGTGTGTTATTGCAGGGATGCAGAGGGATTTACATCATCAAAACTGTGACTGTAAGGGCAGTGAAAAATCTAATAACTTATTTTGGAACAAAACTGTTTTGATACATATAAAGACAGCACTGATTGCATCATTAAGACATGAGTTTTTTGTTGTAGCAGAGGCTCACATGTTCAACGTATTATTAGGAAATGTGCCAGCTGAGAATTTAATAATGTAGTTAAACATTTATGTGGGGAGAAAAGTTTTAAAGGCACTAATACACACACACACACACACACACAAACCAAGCAATATCCTCCATCAGTTTCATTACAAATGGTCTCATCAGGGGCCAAAATGAGCTATGAGAGAAGGCTGTGGAGCGGACAGGAGGCTTCATTCCCTTACATTGTGGTCTGCTGGTCGGCTCACAGAATACTAATGCTAAGCTGGAGGCGATGCAGCGCTGCCAGCCTGTGCAAAAAGCATGACCTTGGGCCAGTGGTTGTGTGGGAAAACAGCATTTGCTGCACAAAAAAGGATCAGAGTGCCCCCTGGCTGCGGAAGTGTGCACAATCTGTTTTCAGAACTGGGAATCTGCCGTGATGAGAGATGTAGGGAAAGAGGTGGGAAGTGTTTTATCCTCTCATCATTAACTCAAGAGATCCCCCCCTCCCTCCACACACACACACACACACACACACACACACACACACACACACCCTTCTTCATCTTTCTCCACGTCGTCTCTCCCCAGTTCCCTGTTCCCACACACCATTGTTTCCCCCTCCCTCTCTCTGTCAGCCCTTTGATTCTGCTCTTATTCCTCATCCTCCCCTGATGCCTCTATCTAGGTCACAACTGGGACTTACATGGCTTTAGGATCCCCAAATTCTACACACACATGTCATCCTTGTCACAATCAATGACCAATCCGCTTGCAATGAAATACTGTGGACTGGATGGCCCATACCACTTGTGGAAAAGGGGGGAAAGCGAGTAAGGCAAACTAACTGGATTTAGCAGGGCAGAACTGGATTAGTCGAAGAGTGGGGGTGTGGTGATATGGATAAAAAAAGCACAATAATATGAAAAAAGATATTAGAGTAGTGGTATAAATGGTCATAATGATCACTTCATGCATTAGCCATCTGGAGTCAGTGCTATGCTAATGCGGTCTTTCATAGTGAATATGTATATAAACCGTGACTCCAGAGGTTTCCTGGGATTTGTAGGAATGTCACTGGCCTCATGTTGGTCTCCTGAGCCAACAAGGTTGTTGAAGAAAGAAGAAGCTCATCTTGAACATAACCATTACAAATCCAACAGAAAGCAGAGGAGTCTATTGTGTGTGTGTGAGAATGTGATAATAACACTACGCATTGATAGTAGCAAGATAAGACATTAACTGTGTTGGATATAATGGTTAAAAACAATGAACATGGTGAATGGGTCTTTATCTTTCTGCAGATGCATTATAGTTTGTGGCACTGAAACCATTTCAAATTGAGCTTAGACTTGATAAGGTTGGCAGATGGGTCAATCACTTCCAGCACAAGTGGGATTTGACCTTCACTCTCGCCTTATATTTTGCAAATGTAGGACATTATGATGTCATGTGACATCAGATTACCTCGGAAGTATCAGCCAGACTATTGACCAGGTGGTTAAGGAGCTTCAGTGTTTTCTAGGGGGGAGAGGAGCTCCCTTGGCCCCAGACTTTCAAACTTTGCAGACCTTTTCCGTACACAAAAAAATGATAAAACACACTAGAAAAAAAGCATCATGTCTCCTTCAAAGACAGTGAGTGAGGTAATAGTTAGTGAGGGAAATCACCACATTTTTACTATTATTACTAATTTAATTTCTCTAGTGTGGATCAGTGTGGTGGACAAAAACCACTGTCCCTAGAGTGGCTCAAACAAATGGAGTGGTAAAACATTCTACAACATTATGTAGCTAAATGCTGTCCCTGAAAAGCACCTTTTGTCCACTTGTTAATTTAGCGCCGCTAAATGCCCTGTCTCTGGGGTATTACTGCATCAGTAATATGACGTCTGCTTGTTTACACACAACAATGTGTTGAGCAGCTCTGTATAGAGACACTGATGAGACTCTCTACACATCCAGTGTGTTTATCAGTTGCTGTTGATGCCACTGTACTTCAAACAGAAGAGACACGAAAAACCTTTCTAGTTTACTCAATCTATGCCACCCTGCTGTGTGAGAGCAGGAGTCAGCTGCAAGCGTGGAATCTCCTCATTGTCAGCGCGAGCAGCAGCACGTCTGACGGAGCACTCACCGCGTCTTACGAGTGCATTCAGTGGCACGTCAGAGTTCCCATGGTTCATTTGTGCTGATGATATCTCGTTCTCTCCGAATACATGACAGAGATGAAAGCGGCTGCGTGGCAATTCACAGCAAAGACACGAAAACTTACAATGTACCCAATTTGACTTTTTAAACTAAAATTGTGTGTTTGCACTGAAGATGCTATATGTATCATTTTAAAATCAGTGGTGATAATGTCACAGACATATTTTCAGTTGTTGTTCACTGTCCACATCTGCAGTCAGGCGGCTTGACCACACCTTTCCACTGAAGGGTGAAAAATACCTGCTCTCTCAGACTGTGTCTCCGTGAGGCTCGGAATGAGAATAAAACAATGTTGAATCCTCGGCAGAGAAACTGGGACATGACCACTGGGATTCACCATGTTGGATTTGGTGGGAAATCTGCTAGATTGCTACATGACATAAATGAGATGCGTGGAGCTATACCGGCATCATACAGTGATCGATGAAGCAATACACTTAGAGCTGCTAATGTATAAGAAGATACTGGCATGTTTTGGCATATTTCAGGGGATTGTGAGGGAATAAAAAAATTAAATAATATAACAATCCTGGTGAGAACTGACACTGTGTGAATGTGATGTTTTACAGCCAGTAGAACAACACATTCATCAGGTGTTCAACATAATCAGTATTTACATTGGATTGTTGGCCACCTGATGAATAAAAGTTAAATATTCATTCTTTAAATTTTCCCCCAACTCTTTTCATAAGTGGTGCTTCAGCGTGTTTAGCACTGTGTAGTGCATTTTGCTCAAGGACACTTCGACATGGCGAATGGGGAAGACTGGGATTTTCTGGTCACTCCCCTCAGCTGTTGGTTGGGGCTGCTGGAATCAGGTTGATGAAATAGTGGAGGTACAGGCTGTAATGCAATGAACCGCAAGGAGACCTTAGGGATGATTGTCTGCTGGTATACACACGCAGACCTTTGCATACCCATTTTTCATATAATTTGAAAATGGCAGCTTGAATGAGTGAAAGTCTGATAAAAAAACAATGTCCTATATGTATGTTTACTACATGGATAAGGAACGAAACAGGGAGGAATGTATAGGATTATTATTATTATTATTAGATATTATATTATTTACCGGTAAGGGATGTACATTAGATATTTACATTTACCTTTAATTTGTTGAAAATAAACACACTATCACATTATAAGGTTTTATTCTTAATTTGATAATAATAATGATCAGTTACTAAAACATTTATTTACATATACATTTATTTGATTGATACAGCTACAGCCTATGGTTTACTAATATGTATATACAGAAAATGATATAATGAGATGCTGTGGTGGATATAGTGATGGTTAAATATCTCCCCGACTGAATTTTCCTCCTAAAACAGAGTAGACTACATTTTCCAATGTCCTACAGCATCCTTTCAATTGTAACTCAGTGTGATTCTGATTACCAGTGATAAAATAGTGCATGGAATTTCTGCCCGACTCAGCGAGTCTAATATTCCATTAAAACAAGGCTGTAGCAAGACTGCTGCAATTGATCTCTTACTGGTTTTAAGATTAATCTTACATTGTCGCCCCTTTCTGTGATAGAGATGGATGGTGGTGAGGACCGCAAGTGCATGATATTTGTATTTTTCTGCTGGACCAAAGTGTCATGAGATCTTTTACTGGTTTGTTCAGTAGAGGAATTTTTCTTAATGAGAGGACACTTTATGAGATTGGATGGTTTGGCAGAAACCCAGTGCTTGCTCGGATGTTTTCTGTTTAACAGAGTGATGGTAAGTTTGCGTAGGTGAGTCTTTGCAGTTAGGGAGGAGAGGCTGCCAGCCCCCATAATGAGCCATTTAAGGACAGAGAGGGAAGGGCAATTATGTCCATTGAGGAGGCTTCTTGTGTTGCTAGTACAGTTTTCTAATGTTGCGATCTTACAGCCGGGACAGGGTTCTTCATCTCCACCAGTATGCTAGCATCATTTTTTCACTTGACAGAGGAGCCAAACTGGAGTGTTTGATTTAAACTGAGCCCCCTCCATCTGCAGTGAATTACAACTGAGACCTCTCAGCTCACTGTCTCGTGTATTTGACAGCGGACGTTTCAGCACTGAAGGAGAGGGTGGTACATTATCAGTTTTTGGACAGCAGCAGAATGAATGTGAAGTAAACTGACTGGATTAAAAGGATTGTGGGAAATACGACTGTGTGGGGATGAGGAGGCTTTTGTGATTGACCTTCACCGTGGCTTCATTAGGAAAGCAACATATTTCACTGTCCATCCCACACACCAGGCTCAAACACTGGAGTTGGACTTTTGGCCTCAGGGCCAATCCCTTTTTTTCTGCACTGTTAAGATTTGCTGTGCTGTCATAGATTTAGATTTTTAATGAGCACCAGTCTGAGTTTTGAAGGACATTTTAGGGGAAAATTCATGGATTGCTCAATCCTAAATCATGATTTTTCCCCTGCTTTTTTTGGGTCTTATTCATGAGTTATCCAGTCTCCCTTGATGTGGATGTTTGACCCCCCTGTGCATCTAAGGGTTAAAAAAACAGTTCAGTTGCATGCACAGAATGTGAGTTTGAAAGGTAGATTATACATTTGTTTGTAAGTATTTTTGTTCCCACGATAAAAAAAACTTTCCATTAAACTAAACAATTTAATGTAATCTTAATATGAGATTAAACTCTGTGTGTGTGTGTGTGTGTGTGTGTTTGTGTGTGTGTGTGTGTGTGTGTTTGTGTTATCCAGGAGGCTGTAATTTCTCCTGTTTCCCCCGATGTACTGTACCTGTTTCGAGTCCAGGCCGTCTGCATGAATGACATGCGCAGTGACTTCAGCCAGAGCATGCTCTTCAGAGGTAACGCACACACACACACACACACACACATGAATCGTGCTCATGAATTCCTCTTGATGTCATGTCTTTACTATCAATGTATCTGCCATATGTGCATTAGTATTTCTTTCATGTGCATAGCCCTCTTTTCACAGGCCTAGTATATTGTCCTGTATTGTATATAACCATAATCTGGCAGCAAATATTCCCTTGATCATAATATCACAAAGAATCCCATATCAATAGCTGCAGGCTAAAGGAAAAACAACAGAGGCAAGAAGAAAAAAAGTCAGCTGAAATGCAGAGAGGTGTATTTATTTCATCTAACTCAACTCAGTTTATTGTCTTCCTCATTCATTATTCAAAGGCCACTTATATTATGCCATGCTGTGATTAATGTTCTTACAGTGCACTCATGAATGTCTGCGACACCTCCCCAAGTCAAGTGTCGCCTCACTCACCCAGTTTTTTTCCCTGTACTTCAGCAAACACCACCAGGATATTTGAGGGAACGAGGATTGTGAAAACTGGGATGGTAAGTTTGAATCACAGCTATTGTCTTTGCACTTTTTGTCCAGCAGAGAGCAGTGTCTGTATTAGCATCCTTCTGTCCTGTGTGCCTTCCTTACTTTGAATACTATACTATACTATATATTTACTGTCATTAGTCTATAATTTGCATTTTGGTCTATAAAGGATCCAAATCCATTATTTAATTACTTATCCTGCGCATATCACATGAATTTGAAAAAATAAATAGATTATAAGTGAATTGAAGGGATCCTGCATGTCAGTGGCTCCTAACCATTTGAACTGGCAATCTGTGGCTTAGTATGTTACAGAACAGACACCAGCTTGCATGATTATTATTTACTATTATTCACTGAGCTTTCCATCTCAGATTGTTTGTCATTTCACATGGTGCTTAAATGGTAAAAATGCAAACTTTTACGGTATGATTTTCTTTTTTAAGCATCTGATGACTAGTTATTTATTAAAAACATACAAATGCCTTAAACTGGGCATAAACTGTGCGACTTCAGAAATGTTGTCTTTCAATTCCAATTCACACTGTACGAGTAAATCATCTGAGATGTGTAGCCAAAGCTCACAATTTATGTACTCACACCGTACAGACCTGACTGCCCACAGTGTATGTTCTATCGTCTGGACTATCTCTGGACCTGTGTTTTTGTCAAAGAGGAATAAATTGTTTGTTTAAGTGTTTGTTTGCTATCAGTGTTAACAACGGAGGAACATTTAGTTCAATGTGTCACTGTGTGTCGAAACATCACCAGCCATAAGTTGCATTTCTTTCTATTGTGTTTTACTATTTCACCCAGACACATGAATCACACAATTCTGAAATCACTTCAAAATCATGCTAAAATTTCACAGTGTTTGCCCGGCTTTCATCTCCGCTGTCCCACAACAATGTTGTTACATTACTTATGACAAACTGAGAATCAAACATCGAACTACTCCTTTAAATACAGGTTACCCGTCTTTGAAATGTTAGATTTGACTGAGGAGAAAAATGTAATTCAAATTCTAATCAGTAACATTTTCTTTTAGCCGACGGTCTCTCCGGCCTCCTCAGCCGACATGGCGCCCATTTCCTCTGGCTCATCCACCTGGACCTCCTCAGGCATCCCGTTCTCTTTTGTCTCCATGGCGACAGGCATCGGTCCTTCCTCCAGTGGTAGTCAGGCAACAGTGGCGTCCGTGGTGACCAGCACTTTACTGGCTGGGCTGGGCTTCAGTGGTGGTGTCATCTCCTCCTTCCCCAGCTCTGTATGGCCAAGCAGAGCACCGAGGCATAATCCCACCTCCAATCACCAGACCGCCGAACCCGCCGAGCCTGCCAAAGATACTGCCACCTCTGCTGTCACATCATCTGCTGCCAATGATTATGGTGAGGCTAGGGGTGAGGACAGGGAGAACAGCAAGAGTCAAGGAGAGGATGGAGAGAGGGAAGGAGATGACAAGGATGAAGAGGATGAGGAAGAAGAGAAAGACAAGAAAAAGGAGAAGAAGGCATCAAGACGTGTGGGGAAAGCAGGGAGTAAGGTCAACAACACAGTGGTGAATGAGCCCCCGGGCAAGACATCGGAGTCCACCGCAAAGGAGAAAAAACAGACTGAACCAGATCCAACTAAAACGACACCTGGTGTCGAAGAACAACCAGAGACCTACACACACAATCCACTTTACTCAGACCCCACTACCACCGCAGAGGCAGCCAATGAAACAGCAGCACTCACTACCCCCAAGGACCCTGCACTGACATTGAGACCCAGAGCAGGGAAAGACAAGAAGCACTGGTCTTTCTCCATCCACACTGGTGAGTCTGCTAAGCGCTTAAACTGAATGTAAACATCAGCTGTGATACTTTGTAGAGCCTGAACAGAAAAGTGGGAACTGGAGAATAAAGTGCAGAATAATCAACTTTCTATTCCTTTCACTAATTCGACTAAAACATTCCAACTTTTGAGTGTTTTTTTTTCTTTTTTCTCTAAAAATGTCCTCAGTCTCTTTGTGGACTCCCAAGTACCTCCTTGCATAAACATAAAATCAAATAAATGGGTAAGGTCCACAGTGAGCATTCACAAACTCTTCAGTTTCTCTGAAAGGCTGCCTTTATCAAATAGTCTCTAGTCAAGACCGCACCAAGGCAGACTTTTTGAAAGAATCATTTACTTTTGGATATTTATGACCAACAAGGCCCTCCTGAACAACTTCATAACATATAGACTGTTTGTGTTGCTCTCTTATATTTGCACGTGTTCCAAAAGTAAGAGGGTGTTCAATTTTCCTATCAGTGCTGCATCTGATTTCAGGAGGGAACACAAAGATGTAGAAGACTGGCTGCTTTGATCATAATTTCATTCTAACAACTGTAATCCCCTTAGAGGTGTGAGGTCATTGGTAATTCAATTTATCAACAGCTTTGGAAGTCTGTCATTGAATTAATGAGGTCAAAGCATTGACTCTAATTCACTAATAACCACTCAGTAAGTAAAAGCACCATGATGGACAACATTTTTTAAAGTAAGAATGACTCAGAGAGATGCTACATCACTGCTGCACACAGTCTTAAATATTCACTACACGGTATGCTATATATATATTTCAATCATACTACACTGCTCCTCCGCTCCCTTCACTGGTTACCAATGGCTGCCCGCATCCATTTCAAAACACCAGTAGGCTACTTGTATACTGTGCTGTGAACAGATCGGGTCCAGTCTACATCCAGGACATGGTTAAACCTTACACCCCAGCCTGTCCACTCCACTCTGCATCTGCTTGCTGCTCCCTCACTGCGAACAAACCACCAAACTAAATCACAACTGTTTGCTGTCCTGGCTCCTTAATGGTGGAACGAGCTCCCCATTGATACCAGGACAGCAGAAAGTCTTCATATCTTCCACCGCAGACTAAAGACACATCTCTTCCAACTACACCTTGGTGGTGAAGATGAGGTCTAGAAACAATCCTCAACTCTGGTGTTTATTTTTATTTAAAAAATTTAAATTAATCTGTTTAGTTGCACTTATATGGCACTTATATTGGAGCACTTACTTGATTCTTGTTGTTCGGGGTTTGTTCCCTCATGGTTGATGCACTTATTAGCTTTGGGTAAAAGCATCAGCTAAATGTAATGTAATGTAATGTAATGTCATGCTACGCTGTAAAAAAATATCAAAATTTTAGCATAGCTACATTTTAATGACAAAATTGTAAAAATGTAATTATTGTGATCATTATAGTGGAAGGGATTGATAATGCCACTAATGGGACTAAGATCAGATGAGCGTGAACACAATTAAAGTTGAAATAAAGATTGTATTGCTGGTCTGCTGCAGTGACACATTAATTCTGGTATGCTTACCTGTTGCTACATTGCTGTTTTGGAACACAGACTTTATATAAAGATGTTCAATGCATGAAAGTTTCCACTTGTTCCACATCAACTGAGTGGCAGCAATCAGGGAAGCAGCCATGCCTGCCGACAAAGATGCTCGACCAATCACAAGTCAGCCTGAGCAATACCGTCAATTTTCTGAAAAGATTAGCACTTGGACACACATGACTGTGATAACAACTACCATCAATGAAAGAAACCATATTTGAGAACATTTTATTTGAAGTGTATTTTTACTTAGTTTTACGTAGTCCCATATAGGCCTAACATCGACAGGCAGGTTTTATGACTGGGTGTTTACTTTGCTGCAAGCAGAAAGTTACACCTGCTCTCACTCGTCTTCATTTGTGATTGAATGACCATAACCGAGTCCGACCTGTTGCTGCAGTAAAGCGTAGCTGCAGATACTGTGAGGGATCTTATCTGCATTTGTAGAGACAAGGACCAGGCCATTATCAGAAGAAATAAAGTCCTTTTTTGAGCAGAACCAGTGTAGAGCTGCACAGGTGTCTTGTGTCTTTGTGCGTGAACACGATGGCTAATGTTGGCTGACCATGATTAATGTTGTGTTCGCCTCACAGTACTGTAAAGTTTCTGCCACATATCAGACTATAACTAAAACTTGGCCATAATATATATGCATAATGTAGAGAGGTCCTGCTTCAGTCAGTCAGATCTTACTTTGCTTATTGGGTTTCCCTGTGCTGTACCACAGGGGTGAGAGGCAGGGGAGTGAGAGATGGACTGAGAGAGAGAGAGGAGATAATCTATTATAATCTCTCATTGTGTTCTTTCAATGATTCTTACTACACAATCAGAAATAAAGCCTAATGAACCAAGGGAAGACACATGGTGATTGTGAGTGCTCAGCAGAACTGTGAACACACTTTAAAATCACAAACTCTTTTAAGATCTTTTATGTTAAATTGAATTTATCGGTTTCAATTTGTAAACAGTGCAGTTTAGAAATTTACATATGAAGATAAATGCCTCACTGAAGATAATATTTTCTACAGTAGTTCCCTGTTCTTGTATCAACACACATCACACCTCAAACTCCTCCGCAGACATCGTGTTTGTACCCTTGGGCAGTGCCTCTGCACAGCTTGCAGGCTGCATGATGTAGGGTGTCATTCTGTCTGCCATCAGAGGACAGTTTCCTTTACAAGGGTTCTGAAAGGCCGGATTTTGGTGACAGTCATTAAAAACAAAGTGTGTCTTATTATATACAAACATTTTATGATGATGAGATCAGGCATAATATCAAATAGACACTGCATCAGTGTTGAGCAGCAGCTAATAACAACCCTCCTTTATAAACACAGTTTTATTGTTGGTAAAGGAATTTTAAAGGCATGATATGCAATCACATTTTTTTCCTCATGTCTCATAACAAAAGCAGTTGTGCAAAAACTTACATAAAGTAAAAATTGAGTTTAACATTACACCTTTATGTTGCACTTTTACATTTGCCTGAAAGGATAACTTGTTAATTTATTTATACGTAAAAATACAAGACAGGCATAAGACAGTTACAGCCTGCTCAATTCAATTTTACCAAATAAAGCATTTGTCATTTGTCAAGATTTTCAAAAGCTGATTTGTGAATACATTTGATTTTGTGCCTACACGGCTCCACTAGAGACCCAGACCACTGAGACAGATCTCCGTCTGATACTGATATCACCACCATGTTTTGGAAGTAAGAATTAAAGGCTCATCTCTCCAGCTCCGACTGCAGCAGATAATCTAATAATTACTCCAAACAGGGTTGGGCAGAAGAAGAAAAGGGTTTGATTGATTACTATGTCCGTGTGACATTAATAACATGGTCTGCCTTATGAAGTCACTGAATACAAGTGGAAAGAAGATAACATTACCAGTAGTTTGAATCTTCACTCTTATTTCATTAATCTGTGCATAACTAATAATACCAAAACATTTAATATAAAAACATGACAAACTCTAGAAGTAAAAAAAAAAGTTTTTCATATTGACCATGCTATAATATAATATTAGTTTGAAGTTTAAGTAGTTTGGGAAAAGTGTTTCACAAACCTCAGCACACCTGGTCATACCAAAAGCTGCTATTCAAAAAAAACAACTAAATTGTGATTGACCAAATATTTTGTGTGGTCTTACATTATATGTGAGGTAGAGGTAGCAATTCCTTAGCTTGAAAACTGAAAAGACATTTGTAATTCATTACAAAGTGGGAGTTTCACTGTTTTAAATCAAATCGATGCTTTTAATTAACTCACATGTTTGTATAGTGATCACAGAAGCAGCTTGTTCCACAGTCACACTCGGTGCAGGAGATGAGGTCCACTCCATGCAGCACTGAAAGTGGACTCTCTCCCACACATGTCATCTTTCAATTCAGACTGTAATTCTAACATTTCTTTTGTATTTTCTGATGATAACCACTGAACTAAATGTCATGAAATAGAAATGTAAATGTAAAAGTTTCTATATTTACTAAATGTAAATAATTTCCGGTTCCTTGACCCAAAACTGTACTTATAAATTCTGGTATTGTGTCTAACACTAAACAATTATCATCATTTTAATAGAAAAATAAAATGAACACAAAGTTGTGAAGGATTAAACTGCTCTACAATAGAACCAATCACAGTAAAACAACTACCGGGGCTGATACTGCACAAACAAACCAACACTGTAGCATCACACTGTCTCTGTGGGAGAGCGGATATCTACATAATTATCTGTGGTACAAATGTAGTAATAAAGGTTCACTCACAAATAATTAGCTGAGTTTCGTCATCTCACTTGAGTGGGCCACTTTGTTCATCAAGAGGTTATCAGAGAGTGAGCCTGCTGAGCTGCTCTCACTTTAAACAAGATGTGGTGTGGTGAGGTGAGGTGTGGTGTGGCCACCCAGACATGTCTCATGAGACAGTCAGCAGCTGCAGTCTGACACAAAGTACCGTCCCTACTGACGTGTATAAAGACAGCTTAACATTCCTGCTGCATAAGCGGTGATACCACATTAGGTCATGTAGGTCACGAGGCTGTATTTGTTTTTCACGACATCATCTTACAAAGTGTGGCTGCTCCTTCAAGTCCCTTCTCTTATCAGGTGTCACATGTTGCTGCTGAAGTTTTGAACCTTTCATGCACAGAAAAATAATACATTTCAGAATCTTAGTTTACCTTGTCTATTATATCATGTATACAGGATAGTTTGATTGCAAAAACATACATTACAAAATGTTTTGAGTGAATATAATATTGTTCCCTTATACAACAGCTTATCAGCACGTGTTGAAATCAGACAAATGCTTTTCACTTTCTTATCATTAATCAGCCATGTGGGTTTAATAATATCAGGACTAATCAAGCTGATTGAAACATGAAACATTGGATGATACAATAGGATAACCGCTAATCAACAAGTTAGCTTGTCATGTCTCTAAGTCCTTGAATCTACACATTTGCATGATTTTTGATTACTTACAGGTTCTGATGATAAAAACTAGCTAGCAGGCTAACAAATTCTTTTTTACTGGTCCATCACAATCTACGGACTCTTTAGAAAATGTGTTAACCATCCTTGAGCAAGATGCTGAACCCTGAATTGCCCCTCATAGAACAAAAAGTGTTGCTAATAGATGAACTGAATGTGTGTGTGAATGGGTGAATGGCAAACTGTACTGTAAAGAGCTTTGATCGGTCATCAAGTCTAGAAAAGCTCTATATAAATACAGACCATTTACTATAGCTTCAGTCAGTGCTAGTCTCTATAAACATTACCGAATACTTTGGTGTGTTGAAATTTCTGTCTTGTTACATTTAAAAAGTAAAAAGTTAGTTAGTTTAACTTAAAAAACCTGTTCCAGCATCTTTCAGAGGACACAGTGAATCAGGAAATGTTACATTCAGGAAAGGTTTTGGACCAATTTGCACATTCTACCCACTCATCATGTTCTTGGGTCCAACAGTGAACTTTACATGGACACTCCAGGTCCATGAGACAATGTAAAGAGAGTAGGGTCCTCCTGCATGAGGGGGCCCACTTCCTTTAGCTGCCTTTGTTTTACATCATGAACGGTGTATGTGTCTCTGAAGATTTTAAGTAGCATTGACATAATGTTTTTGTCAGGTAAAAAAACTATTCTCTCTTTTTTATGAAATGTTTAGGTATGGTCGAGATAAGTCACTGCAAATAAACTGTTACTGTCACTGTTAAAATAATCACACTAGTAAAACATTTTTAGAAAGAATGGATATAAAGTTACTTTTGCCTGAGTAACACCTGAACCTTTTAACACCTTATGGATACCATATGTGACAATGAGTTCCATTAACTATAAAAGATGTACCTTGATTAATTCTATGTTTTGTGGTAGAAAAAATGACGTGTTGCATCCTGCTGCATCCTACCTGTAAAAGAAAATGTAATGAGACCTTTGAGTCATCATGGTCCTACTCTTTTATCTTAGACAGTGAACTTGTTCAAACCCTCATCATCTTAGTAAAGTTATGGAAGTGGTGTGATAGTAAAGTCATAACAGAGAACATGCAGTTTATCCGGGGCCTCACAGTGGGGACCCTGATTCAGCAGCTTGTGAACTGGGAACAGAAATATGAAGCCAAGCCTCTTCGTTTTTGCCTTCCAAATTCTTTGCCCTCTTTTCTGTCCTGCTCCTGTATCCCTCCCTTTCTCTGTTTTCTTTACTCTCTCCCTCTCTTCTTTTACTCCATCTTCTCTTTTCCCCTCCCACCCTCCCTCTTGCTCACTCCTCCTCCACCACCTCATCCTCTCTGCCTCTCCTCGTCTTGCTCTGATCTGAGTGCTGGCCTACTTTCAAACACAGCAAACGGAGATGAGGCTTGGAGGCCAGATTCAGCTGCAGGGGGAGGAAAAAAAAGCCTCTGCTCCATTTTAAGTCACGTGTGTGTGTGTGTGTGTGTGTGTGTGTGTGTGTGTGTGTGTGTGTGTGTGTGTGTGT